TCTTCATTGCCCAGATGGACTTCTGAAGAGCACATCCACGTGGCCCAGGAGCCTTGGAGCCTCTGCACCCTTATTTGTCTTGGTGTAAATTACTATGGTAGGCAGAATAATAGTCTCCCCAAAATGTTCACATCCTGATCCCTGGAAGCTGTGAATATGTTACCTTACATGGTAAAAGGGACTTTGCAGATGTGATCAAGTTAAGCACTTTGAGGTAGGGAGATTTTCCTGGATTATCTGGGTGGGCCCAATACAATCACACAAGTCCTTGTAAGAGGGAAGCAAGAATGGCAGTCAGATTTGAAGATGCTATACTGCTGACTTTGAAGATGGAGGAAGGGGCTTCTAGCCAAGGAGGCAGGCAGCCTCCAGAAGCTGGAAAGGGCAAGGAAACAGATTCTCCCTGGGGCTTCCAGAAGCCACCCAGCTCTGCTAACACTTACTTGATTTTTAACCTGGTGAGACTTCTCTAATACTGTAAAATACTACACCTGTGTTATTTTAAGCTACTAAGTATGCAGTAATTTGTTACAGCAGCCATAGGAAAGTAATTTCAAAAGTATCCTTGTTTGTACAATAACTAAGGGGACAGAGTCCATAACTGGTCAAGCTGTGGCCTTGAAAAGCCAACACACCATCAATTTGAAAACTTTCCGTGTAAATCTCTTCCTGGGTTTGGTTGTAGGGGGTGTCTGAGGCCCAGGAAACTCACCTCCTGTCATACCATGGCCTGCTATGGATTTACGGTTCTGGATCCAACAGTATTGTGAGGTAATAAAGAACAAATCTATAACCACTTCTCCAAAGTCTTGCAGAATTAGAGTCGGCAAGAGCACCATACCATTCAGATCGCCTCATTCAGGATCAGGCGATTTGCTTCCTCGGGACGCAGGGCTTTGTTGCCCCGTCAGCACGGCAGACAGTCAGCACAAGAGGCAGAGAAGCAGCAGACAGTGGACTGATGGGTGGGGAAGGGAATGGATTTTTCCCAAGGATGGAAAGCGAGACAAAGCAAATAATCAATGTTGGGCAAGAAAGCTTCATTTAATCATTTAGTTCTGCCTGGGTAAGCAGCACCCGTGAGCGAACCGCCCTCCTGGCTCAACTTGGAGATATTTACAGCCAGACCAGAAGGCTGCTGAGAGTAAAGACATCATGATTAAGTGAAAGAATAAACTCTAGCTGCAGACTGTAGTAAAACCAAATGAGATCTCAGAGGTCACCAGTTAATCCTCGGTATTGAAGTGTGGGCTCCTCCACCTCATCCCTCTCACATGCCTGCTCAGCCCCCTCCAGTGCGGGGAACCCCCAAGACAGTCTCTGTCACTGTCAGATGACTAATTGTTAACGAGGGTTTTTTATATTTCGCTATAATCTTGTAACCTTCACCCTTTGGTCCTAGTGCCATCTGCTTGCAGCCACATAAAATAAGTCTGAACCAGTAGCTCTCAATTCTGGCCGCATACTAGGACGAGCTGGGGAGTCTTTAAAACTGAATGCCCAGGTTGCACTGCAGACCACTTACTTAAATCAGAATCAGTGAGGCTGGGCCAAGCATCCGTATTTAAAAATTCTTCGGGTGATTCCAATGGTTAAAGACGCCCTGACCTGAATCGACTCTTCTCCTCCTTAGGCTGTGACTTTCAACCATCTCCTTAGAGCAGACAGTGCAAAGCAACGAGCAGTCATTACTAAGCAGCCCTGGAGAGGAGTGGGATTGGGAACCACCAGGGAAGACTTGGTGGCCCAAAGGCCATGGTGGGCTTGACTGGTTCCTTTCTGTTTTAAAAAGTATAAACAGATACATACTGGAATTCACCAAAATTTAAAACTCCTGTGCTGCCAAGGACACTAGCGAGAAAATGAAAAGATAATCATAGAGCGGGAAAAAATATTTGCCAATCATAAATCTGATAAGGGTCTAATATCCAACATATATAAATAAGTGCTACATGTCAATGTTAAATGACAAATATCCCAATTAAAAATGGGCAAAGATTCTACCGTACAGCAACATGCTACGACCATATGCCCGGCAATTGCACTCTTGGGTGTTTATTTCAGAGAAGTGAAAACTCTGTTCACACAAGAACCTGTACATGAATGTTCATAGCAGCTTTATACACACACACAATAGCCCCAAACAGAAACGACCCAGAGTCCTTCACTGAGCGCATGGTTAAATAAATGTGATACCTCCATATACCATGTGATAGTATTCAGCAGTAACAAAGGAACTGAGTTACTGATATACAAAACAATCTGGATGAATCTCCAGAGAGTAATACTGAGAAGTTATGCTTGGAAAAAGTCAATTTCAAGAAGTTACAATCTGTTTAATTCCACTTACATATCATTCTTGAAGTGGTAAATTCAGAGAAATGGAAAATAAACTAGTGGTTTTGAGGGGTTAAGGAGGTGGGTGAGAGCCAGGGAGGTATGGCTATAAAAAGGCAACAAGAACAAACCTTGTGGGGATGAAAATGTTCTGTATGTTAACTGTGTCAGTGTTAATATCCTGATATTGTATTACAGTTTCCCAAGATGTTACCAATAAGGGAAACAAGGTAAAGGGTAAATGAGAACTCTCTGTATTATTTCTTAAAGCTGCATGTGAATCTATAATTATCTTGAAAGTTTCATTAAAAAAAAAGACTACACAATCCATTTTAACTACAGAAAACGTCTATTGTGTTGAACCAGTTTTGCCTTAAGGAAATGGATCTGTTAAACGAAACAAAAGTGTATTGTGAAAAACATTGCTTTAAAAATTAAAAAACACCTATTACACCTCCAAATTGGTGAATACAGGAATTTAATTTTCAGGTAACACATGTTCCCTTTTGACAGCATGACGAGAGGTTACAACACATTTTCCTCTTTGGCAAAGTTACTTATCCTAAGTTAGTAGTAACATACAAATGACGAGAGGAGAAGACAGATTTTGGAGAAGTGGAATTCACCTCGTTCACCAGCCTCCTCAGTTCCTGGTGCTTGTTTATGCAGAGTCCAGGTCTAACCAGAAGTCGGGGGAAGTATGAGGAGTGACAGACTCAGTAGGAACAAGCTCTGTTCAGGAACCCCTTTCAGGTATTTTCAAATTCAGAAAACATCAGCCTCATAGGAGCACAGTACCCCAGACCCATTCAGGGGCTCAGGGGCGTGGCCCAGGAATCTGCATTTTCAGCAAGTGTCCCTGGTGAAAGCAGCCTGTCAGGAACACAGCTATGAGGGATGCTGAGAGCCAAACTGAATCTGGACTGCCCCCAAAGTGACTGCAGTCCTTAATCAAAACAATGGGTTTCAGTCATCTTTCCTGAAGGACAATTAAAGGGATTCATCTAGTTCAGGAGCTTATAAAGACAGCTCCAGGAGTAGGGGCTGAAAACTGAACTCACGCTGAGGAATGGACTACAGGTGGGTGCTTAGCTGCAGAGGAGAGAAGAGAAAGAGCGGCCACTGGGCTGCACTGATGAGATCACGGTTGCACAGTTGCCAGGGCTCTGGAAAATAACTGGGTGTGTTTGGAGGGAGATTCAGAGGGAAAGTGGTGCTCTCAGCACTGTGGTGAGGAGCAGTGGGGGCAACGTGCTGTGATGTTACTTTTTACCCTTATGAGGACCAGGGTGCACTCAGGAAACAGAAATTGTACCATCTAGACAAAACAAGTTACGAACAATGTATAAATGCTGTCCAGTCACAGACTGTTTCCTTAAGCTGTCATTTTTGCCACCTCACTGGACAGAAAGCTCCATGGAAAACAGGCACTCACCACTTCACCCCTGCCTGCTGCCATGGCCACTTTCTCCACCTCTTATCTTTCAGATCGGCTTCTGGTCTTCTCAGCTGCCAACTTGCTTGGGACCTCTTTTCCACTCACGTCTGCTCTTCTTGGTCTATTTCTTGGCCATGATTTTGGCTTAGCACAGTCAATATTTCTGCTTTAGCTGCTTTGCCTCTGGTTACCTCAAGAACATACCGTCTCCAGCTCAGCACTTCTCTGGGAACCTCCAAGCCCAGTCTGACCTGAGTGAAGACGTCCTGCCCACCACAGTGCCCCATCAGCTGGCCACACCTGTGTGCTGGTGACGTTAACTGCAATACCACTGGTGAAGCACTTGGTTAGGAGACCTGTCCTAACTTGGTCTCATCTGTTTGGATTTCTCCTACTTATCTTTTTTCACACTGTTTATAGTCCCCACTGACCTTTATCTTATAGGAATAGTTAAGAAATGGCAAGCAGGTCTCTTCTCACATACCAGCTCTACTCAATTGTTAATGAATCAGTGAGTGTACGGTTTAAAAGACAGCGTCTGATAGCACACTTCTGTGGGCCATAACCCATCAGTCGTGCCTGCCTTGGGTGATGATGCGGATAGAGTCTCACATTTGAAGAGACTGTCATCTTTGGACTGAATAGTTTCTTCTTTTCTTTGGGGCTGCTATGTCAACTGCAAATGCTTCATAGTATCTTTGCATTCCTTTACCCAAACCCCAACCTTTTGGTAAAGAAACTATTTTGAACACATTAGCATCTTCCATTCATATTTACTATGAAAATATATGCAAAACAGAAACTGCAGGAACTGTGTCTTTTCTCCAGTGAGGATATACTTTCTGGTGCCTTTGGCAGAATCCATCTGGCAGTGATAGTCTGAGAGCTGTACAAATCTTCCTAGCTTTAGGCTACAGGAAAAGCAGCTCCTGGGGTGAATGGTGTCAGAAAAACTGTCCCCCACTGTTTGAAAGCCCTTTCCTCTATGGCTGCTTCTTATCTTTCACTAGTAAACGTATGTAGTTACTAGTCCCTTAAGACAAAACATTGCCTCTGGCTTACAGCTGGAACATGATACCCAGATCCAGGGGTGAGCACACCCCGGCGCCCTCCTTCCCTACACAAAATCGCAAACTCAGGGCAATTCCACAGCACGGAATTTGCACCTACATGTGCTCCTTCCTACAAAGCATCATCTTCAGAAAGGAGCACTGACTCAGCTTACCTTGTAGTGGAAGAGAAACAACCCGCAGAACAAGCTGTACAGGTCTGCCGTGAGCAGGGAGAGGTTGACCGAAGTGGCGCTGGTTTTCTTTATGACCACCGGCATGAAGCTGTAGAGGCCAAACATGCAGGCGCTAAAGCCCACGTAGAGCAGTCCTGGGGGAGAGGAGACAGAGGTGACTCATAGCCTCCGCTGGGGGCTCTGTGAATCCACACGGGGTGAAAGACGCGAAATGGTGCCTCCCCCCACTTATCTCTCACACAGGAGTTATTCCTTCATCTATTAACTGATGTTTCTTATTGGGAAATACATCGTTAAAACATAAAAGAAAAAAGTGAAAATTTGCATGTGGAAAAAGAACGCTAGGCTTCTCACACATATCTGATGTTTTGCTTCTTCTGGGAAGGAGCACCTCTTAGGGGTTACTGCCAGATCATAGGGTCAAGGCTTCTGAATTCTACTCCAGTTGTGCTGTAATTAACTCCTAGTACCCATGTCTTTTAAAACTTTTTTCATTTCTTTTTTATTTGCAACATAAGAAAAAAACTGCTTGGTACCACGGATTGCTCACAATGATGCATAATTACATAGTCCTTAAAATGGGAGGACTTGCGGACTAAGTCAGGGTACTGAATTGGAGTCCTAACTGTGTGCCCTTGGGCAGGTCACTTCATCACTTTGAACACAAGATGATCTGTCATTTTCTTCCAGATTTGTGAATCCTGCTCAGCCCTACTCCCAACAGAGTCCTATTCCACCATCACTTTTCCTAACATGGGCTCTTACAGGTAGGCTCTGCTCTTTTATGAATAAATAGGTAGATGATTTGTAGACCATCAACAAATTAAATTTTGCAAAACAGATGAAAAAGAAAAAAGTGCCCCTAAACTGCTCTACGATCAGTCTCTCATCCTCTGAAATTCTCTCTAACTGTAACTAGATGCATAATTGTTAATACTCATTCCATAAGTGCATTATTTTCTTGGGTCCCAAACAGAAGTTTATGGTAAACTCTAGGGTTTGGTTTATCATTTCCTAGATGTTGATACAACACGAATGTTGAAAAATAATGCTCGTTTCTCTACCTTGAAAGAATAAGACATAGAATAAGCATAAATATGAAACTCAGAGGATTTTTGGACATTTTAATACCATAAAATATCCAACCTTTCTAGAGGAATCTTTGATTACATGTGCCTGTTTAGGCTGTGGAGAGATGGCACCCTCTAAATCCTGTGAACTTTGGAGGATGTGGTAGGTACTGGATACCCAGTCCCTTTGACTATGAAGATCAGTGATCCCTCCAAAGAGAAATCTGGTTTTCCCAGGTGAAAACTATTAAAGGGCATGAATCATTCTATATGTGCTTAATCTCACATTTAAGGAAAGCCATGTCAAGTCTATAACAATTTTATTTTGAACATTAAGTGAGCAAACTCAGTACAACAGCCCCCTCTAGTGTGGTGGAAATGCCCTCTGGGAAAACTGGAACAACCACTTTCCTAGCTGGGTAAAGCGCACAAGTCCTCTAGGGATGCTCTGCCACAGTGACATCAGACCGCTTTGAGTCTCCATCAGAAGTTCTAATTCCCTAAAAACGGTCGATCTTCCTGTACTTGGGCTTCATGCTACTTATAATTCATTCTCCGTTTAACCAAGTTACTGAAAATGCAATATCACATAACCTATGATTAATATGTGAAAAGACATAAAAATGAATTCAGTATTCTTTTAAGGAATCTGGGATTAACAGCTTGGGGCAAGATATATCCTCAAATCAGTCCACCAAAAAGAATCAAACTTGATCAGGACATAGTCTAGGCACCAAAATCTTTTCTGTTTGTTTGTTTGTTTGTTTTTAGGCATCATTGATTTAGATTATACATGACTGGGCTGGGAAGTGCCAGGACCCAGCCCTTCCATCGCCGTCCCTAGCACACTGTGGACTCTCACATGTGAGAGCTGATGTTTTATACTCACTCAATTATTCACCCATGTATTTGCTGAGTACCTGCTGTGCTCTAGGGACCCTGCTACGGGCCAGCCATGCAATGGAGAACAGGAGAGAGGAGACACTCGGAGCTGGCATTAGTGCTGTGAAGGAGGAAAGGGCTCCTTATGGGGAATGGCGGGGGCTTGCTTTAGGAGGGTGACCGGGTAAGGCTTCTTTGTGGAGGGGCATTCACCTTGATGGCTTTGAGGCTAAAAGGAGTTTGCCAGGGGAGTAGCCAGGGGAAGAAGAGTTTAAGCAGGGAGACCTACAAATGAAAAGACCTCGAGGAGGTTGGAAAATTAGGGAGAGGATGGATTATGCAGGCCCTAGAGGTCTTTTTGTTAAAAATAATTTTTAAAAACTTTTTTAAAGTTGGTTTTTTTAATTTATTTTTTCTTTTTTGGGGGGAGGTAATTAGGTTTATTTATTTATTAATTTTTTCATGGAGCTCAATCCCCAGGACCTTGTACATGCTAAGCAGGCCCTCTAACACTGAGCTATACCCGCCCTGCCCTGGCCTTGGAGGCCTTAGAAAGAAATCGGTATCTTATTCCAGCAACGGGAAGCCATTGAGGAGTTTGTAGCAGGTGGCTAAGGTCTGTTCTACATTTCCGAAAGATGACTTCAGCTACTGTGTGGAGAAAGGACTGACGGGAAAAAGTGGGGTAGAAGGCCAGGCAAGAGATGCTGGTGGCTTTGCTCAGAATGGCAGGGGAGATGAAGGGAGGTGGCTGGTCTGTGAAGACTCAACACGCCCTGGTGGAAGACTGGATGGAGGCAGTGAAAACAGGGACAGCATGAAAGACAGCTATGGGTTCACGTGGGTTCTGGCTAATTTAGAAACTGGGCGAATTATGACACCATTACGGAGAGAACTGAGCAGTAGGATCAGATTTTCAGGGGAAATTAAAAGCTCCATTTTTGAACACATTACATTTTAGATGTTTATGCAGCATCCAACAGGACTTGTCCAGTAGGGAGTGAGTATACAATCGGCAGGCTCGGAGCACAGGTGCGATTCTACAAGCACAATTGGTGAGCCAAGGACTGCAGGAAAACAGGTACAGAGCCGAGTTCCCCTCTACTCATCAGGCTACTGGGGGATGTTCCAAGCTTGACCATTTAAAACCTGTTCCTAAAAACTGCAGAAATGAAATTCAGGAGGGTGAAAGTGGAATATATAGACCATCACAGTTAATCGCTCAGCTGCATCAACCAATGTTTCTGTGCGTGAATATCCCATTTGGTGAGCAAAGCACAGTCAGCCAACTGAACACATGATTAAGAAGAGGGGGGAGGCAGTATTGCTGCAATTTGCTGATCTGCTGCTCTTCCGGGGACATTAGCTAGTTAACGGATGTTAGTGATGCATCTGAAGGCCCAACCTGCTGTCCGTGTGGGGTTTTCAAACAATCGATCAACATGATCAAACAAACCAAATTACTTTTTGACCGACAACCACATAATGGCTGTGATAACTACATTTGTAGGCAAAGTCTATGTATAACCGTTTCTTATTTGACACACTTTTTCTCTCACTAAAGATAGAATTTGGTAGCTCTTGTCCTCATGCACTAAAGAGACTTTTAGCTAAAGAAACTGGAAAGAACACTAGCAGCTGATGCTAATAGAGCCCTTTATATGCATGAATTAATCTCCACAACAGTATCACATCATTGCTATTGTTATCCTCTTTATACATGAGAGGAAACAGGCCTACAGAGTGTACTGGTCAAAAAAGCCACGTCCATACCAGGTTCAATATGCGGCACAAGTTACTAAGGTTGTTGGGATGGGTGATGGGGAAACTGGGACGGTAAGGCAACCCGGACCTTAGCAACAGCGGTAAATTATTCGCACCCTGCAGCCAGAGAGATCCAGGGAGGAGGCCACGTCAGCAGAGTCAGAAGTCAGGGAGGCCCAGAGGAGGTATAATCACAGAGGACACCGCGCATTTCTAGAGACCTGACCTGAAACAGGGAGACACACTCCGGTTTCCTTCTTCCTCCCACCCTCCAAGCTCCTTCTACCCACTCCCACTGGCCAAACTCCCCGGAAGCCAGTTAACAAGGCGGCCCCGGAAGCATAGTTTGCTTGAGTCATTGAGTCTGGAATGTAGGGCAGAGAAAGGGTAAGAAACGGACTGGTGAGTAAACAGGCAAAAGAGGAGCATATAGAGGTCCAGTAGCTTGCCTCCAGGTCACTCAGGCTGCCTGACTTCAAATTCTGAGTGCCTACCACTAGTCTATGTTGTTGGATAATTATAATAAGAAATAGGGCTTGGATCAAGCATCCCATTTGACTGTAATGAGTGTCACATTTTACACATGACATATACACAGTACACCACATGCCTATGACAGGTCATATGCTATGTGATATACATGTTCATGTATGATAGGCATGGTGTGTACTTGTATATATACATGCATATGATATATACACGTATATAGTGTCTGTTTTGCTGCATAGATTTTATCTCATCACTTTCTTTGGGATCCCACTGGTGTTCTGCCTTTCACTTTCCTTTGACTAGATTTTTAAAACATTATTTTTGAGTCTTAAAAATAAAGGCTCTGCAAGATGGTTTCTCAGGACACATGCATTAGGTGAAGTCTGTAAAAGGCACCAGACTGGGGAGCTTGATTAGATGGTGCAAATCAGTCCCACCACAGGCAGCGGTGAGTCCAGTGAAGTGGCCTTGGATCCCCAGGACTGTGGTTCAACATCAGTAAAAAGAAAGGCAATATTCTGACTCACAGACATAGAAAACAAACTTATGGTTACCAAAGGGGAAAGAATGGGGCAAGGGAGAAATTAGGAGTTTGGGATTCACAGATATAAACTACTATATATAAAACAGATAAACAACAAGGACCTAGTGTATGGCACAGGGAATCTTTTTGTATGTGTATGTGTGTGTGCAGTCAACTAATACTTATTAAACACCTTCTATATTCCAGCACCAAAAACACATTTATGACCTTACGGAATTCAAACATCCATCCTCCAATATAGGTAATAGTATTTTTTATGTAACAGATGAGAAAACTAAGAATTAGACTGACAAGAATCTGCTTAACACCATAAGCAGCACAGGAAATCATTTTCAATACCTTGTAAGAAATCATAATGGAAAAGAATATGAAAAAGAATCTATATATAATTGAATCATCACTTTGCTGCACACCAGAAATTAACACATCATTGTAAATCAACTATACTTCAATTAAAAAAATAATAAAACAGCCAGTGAGAAGCAAAA